TCAGCTGGTAAAGAATCTGCCTGCAATGCAGGAGACCTGGGTTCGATCCCTGGGTTGGGAAGATCCCCTGGAGAAGGGAAAGGCTACCCACCCCAGTATTCTGGCCTAGAGAATTCAATGGACTGCATAGTCCATGGGGTTACAAAGAGTCAGTCACTGAAGAGTCAGACACAACTGAGTGACTTTCACTCACTCAATTAAATAAAATCGGGAGACCAGAAGAGGGAGCTCTCATACTCTGCAAAGATAGCAGAGTCCAACAGGAAGAGACTCCTCTCCTTTCATGGCAAGCATTCAGCCAGCGAAAAGCTATGGACTATTTTTAACTATAGCTCTCCCAACTTCCTTTTTCTCTATAAAAGTATTCTCCTATCCTTATCACTGGGGACTTGTACATGGTTCACAGTAGTTGCAGACCACAAATTGCTATTCTCTGCTGATTCTGAATAAACCCATCTTGTTTGGAGACATTTTTTTAAAGAGCACATGAATTACTGTCCTTGTATTTTTCCCTTAACTTTTTATCATGAATACTGAACACCCATATATCTTCCACCCACATTCAATAATCACTAACATTTGCCATATTTACTTCATTTATCTATATTTTTTTCTGAGCCATTTCAGAGTTGCAGACATCACAGGACTTCCTTGGAGGTCCAGTGGTTAGGACTCCACACTTTTCCACTGCAAGGGTGTGGATTCAATCCCTGGTGAGGGAACTAAGATTCCACATGCTGTCATGATACCTCCTCCCTAAATACTTCAAAGAATCTTCTCCTCCATAACCATAATACCATTTATCTCAGTTCAGAGAGTTAATAATATCCATACAAATATTCAGTAAATATTCAGATTTCCTCAACTGTTCCCAAACTATCTTTTATCCTGGATTTTTTCCAAACCAGGAGCCAACCAAGATTCACACACTCAAAGTGGCTGTTATTCAAAGCCTCTCTTACTTTTTTCACGACAGTGGCTTTTAAAACACTGGTATCGTCTTACTGTATCCTCTTGGTTAGATTTATCTTACTTCTCCGTCCCCTATATTTTCTTTAAACCAGAAGTTCAGCCTTTAAGTTTAATTTGGATCAAGTTAAACATTTTAGGAAGGGATATATTATAGGTGATACCATGTGCTTTATATTACATGACCCAGAAGGCACAAAATGTCAGGTCATCCCATCACTGGAACACTTGGTTAAGATAGTGACCACCAGATCTTGCCACCGGAAAAGTATGTTCTTTCCCTGACATTTGGCAAGTGATTTGTGGGGGGTTATAGCTCAGAGGGTAAAGAATCTGCCTGCAATGCAGGAGACCCTGGTTCAATTCCTGGGTCAGGAAGGTCCATTGGAGAAGGGATAGGCTACCCACTCCAGTATTCTTGGGCTTCCCTTGTGGCTCAGCTGGTAAAGAATCCACCTGCAATGCGGGAGACCTGGGTTCGATCCCTGGGTTGGGAAGATCCCCTGGAGAAGGGAAAGGCTACCCACTCCATTATTCTGGCCTGGAGAATTCCATGGACTGTATAGTCCATGGGGTCGCAAAGAGTCGAATATGACTGAGCAACTTTCATTTCATTTCATTTGCAGGGGTGACACTTTGACACCTTGAGAATATCCTATTCCCCATCAATCTTCTAATTATTTCATTTACAGTAAAATATCCCACCATTCCTTTCACATTTATTACTGGAAGGTATTTTCTGAAAAGGATTTAAAAAGCAAGGTCAACGCATCCTTCAATCCCCTAATAATATATTTTCAAAGTAAGAAAATCAGTGTCTTAATCACTTCCAATGTTGACAGATGAGTTTTCTCCCCTCTTCTTCCTCTATTTTAAGTATCATCATGAATGTGTGGAATTTTACTTATTTAAGGTGTTACAATCAATCTGGATACTTAGTGTCCCCAGTTTGAACCGGGCTGTTGCATCCTTCAAACACAGGTACATTAGTCTCTGAGCTCTTCCTTGCTATTTGAGCACAAGATACTCCAGTCTCACCTGGTACTTTCCCTCCTGCCTTCTACTTCTGACCTACATACCAAGCACCTGGACAGGTCATTTGTTTGATTCACATTTCCTCACTGTAAAGTATGGAAAATCAGGCAAGTTCTCCCAGCCTCACACACCCATGGGGAAGTTGAAAAGAAATAACATACAACAGTCATGACACTAAAATACTGGCTTGGGGCTATATTAATCACTACTACTTGGGAAAACCTTAGGCCAGGAGCAATAAAGAACTCCAGAGGCTTTTTACCCAACTGCCTCCCCAAGAGATGCTTCTGCTCAGATGTCTACATTCCTTCCCACTCTGGAGGATGGTGCTCTTCCTCCCTCCCACCCAGCAGTCTAGTCTTACCTTCCTCTTTAAACATCTCAGTCACGTCCTCCCACAGGGGCGCGGCCTTCTTTGGATGGTGCAGCTTCACCCAGGTGCTGGCCTCGGTGGGCAAGGTGATCAGGAGTCACTGTAGCATGCTGACTTCAGCACTCCTTTCTGGGGATCTCTGGCTCCGCCCACAGGGCAGAGTCCTGACTGGGCTTCTCCACTTTCTGATGAGGAAACCGCCAGAGTCTCCGACAGGAGGCTTTACAACTGCACAGATGTCGTCCACTCTCAGGAACCTGGGGAACAAACAGCACCAAAATCCAGAGTCTGGAGAGTTTTACTATCCAGGCTCTCAAGGAACACTTCCCATCCTTGCCTCCATCTGTCTCCTCAGCAGGCAGCTGGAGGCTCCAAGTATTTATTCCCAATCACCACGATGGGCAGAAAATATCAGTGTCAGTAAAAGGATCTAGAAAGTTCGATCACATGGCCAGAACTTACACCAATCAATGAAAATTTCTTTTACAACAGATACACAGAGATCGTGGATAGACACAACTCACATGGTCCAAAACACTGCTGGTGTCTAGAAGCATAAAGGAATTAATAAAATCCAATTCTTTGTTTTAGGCAGTACTACCTTTAAAGTAATCTGGAAATCACAAATTTGGAAAACTTAGCAGTGGCCACAGGACTGGATAAAGTAAGTTTTCATTCTGATCCTAAAGAAAGGCAATGCCAAAGAATGTTCAAAGTACCATACAATTGCACTCATTTCACAAGCTAGCAAAGTAATACTCAAAATCCTTCAAGCTAGGCATCAACAGTACATGAACCAAGATCTTCCAGATGTACAAGCTGGACTTAGAAAAGGTGAGAAACCAGAGATCAAATTACCAACATCTGCTCTTGGGCTCAGACCTAGGTTGTGATAAAATGGCAAAATGCACCAAGAAGGTTGGAATTGTGGGCAAATACACCACCCATTATGGTGCCTCCCTCAGGAAAATGGTGACGAGAACTGAAATCAGCCAGCACACCAAGAATCCCTGCTCCTTCTGTGGCAAAACCAAGATGAAGAGATGAGCTGTGGGCATTTGGCACTGTGGTTCCTGCATGAAAACAGTAGCTGGTGGTGCCAAGACCTACAACACCACTTCTGTCACAATAAAGTCTGCCATCAGAAGACTGAAGGAATTGAAGTGCCATCAGAAGACTGAAGGAATTGAAGGACCAGTAGAAGTACCACCATTTGATAATGTTGGTAGCCTATAGTAAATGGGCTGATTTATGTAACAAAATTACTTTGGCTTGTTAATTAAAAAAAAAAAATCCCCAACATCCGCTGGATCACAGAAAAAGCAAAGGAATTCCAGAAAAACTTCTGCTTCATTGACTACACTAAAGCCTTTGACTGTGTGGATCACAACAAACTGGAAAATTCTTTAAGAGATGGGAATACCAGACCACTTTACCTGACTCCTGAGAAACCTGTATGCAGGTCAAGAGGCAACTGTTAGAACCAGACATGGAAAAACGGACTGGTTCAAAACTGGGAAAGGAGTACGTCAGGGCTGTATATTGTCACCCTGCTTATTTAACTTATATGCAAAGTACATCATGCTAAATGCTGGGCTGGAAGAACCATAAGCCGAAATCAAGACTGCAAGGAGAAATATCAACAACTTCAGATATGCAGATTATACCACCTAATGGCAGAAAGTGAAGAGGAACTAAAGAGCCTCTTGATGAGGGTGAAAAAAGAGAGTGAAAAAGCTGGCTTAAAACTCAACATTCACAAAACTAAGATCATGGCATCCGGTCCCATCACTTCATGGCAAATAGATGGGGGGAAAGTGGAAACAGTGACAGACTTCATTTTCCTGGGCTCCAAAAGCACTGCACATGGTGACTGCAGCCATGAAATTAAAAGATGCTTGCTCTTTGGAAGAAAAGCTATGACCAACCTAGACAGCATATTAAAAAGCTGAGACATCACTTTGCCGACAAAGGTCCATATAGTCAAAGCTATGGTTTTTCCAGTAGTCATGTACAGATGTGAGAGTTCGACCATAAAGAAGGTTGAGCAATGAAGAATTGATGATTTTGGACTGTGGTGCTGGAGAAAACTGTTGAGAGTCCCTTGGAAATCAAATCAGTTAATTCTAAAGGAAACAAAACCCGAATATTCATTGGAAGGACTGAAGCTGAATCTCCAATAATTTGGCCATCCAATGTGAAGACTGGACACATTGGAAAAGACTCTGATGCTGGGAAAGATAAAAGGCAGGAGAAGGAGGCGACAGAGGATGAGATGGTTGGATGGCATCATCCACTCAATGGACACCAGTTTGAGCACACTCAAGAGACAGTGAAGGAAGGACAGGGAAGCCTAGAGTGCTGCAGAGAGTCAGTCAGACAAGACTTAGCGACTGAACAACACTTTTAAAGTAGTCTGAGATTTGTAAGCAAAAAGGATCTGGGTTTGAGTCCAGCTCCTTCACTTGTTGGCTGTGGCAAACCACGTAATCCCACTGATCCCGTTTCCTCTTCTGTAAATGGAGATGATAAACCTTTCTCCAAAGATGGACCGGTCTGGCCCAGCCCTCGCAGCCTTTGTGTCAACCTGACTCAGAAACTGGGAGCACACCGCGAGCCACAGATGACGCCGGGCAGGGCAGAGGCGGCGCTTCCCGGCTTGACCGCTTTCCAGACCCAAGGGAGCCCTGGCTCACCCGTCTCACCTGTGCTGACCGCTTCTGCGGACCGGTCACCGTGCAGGGACAAGACGCTCCCACGTAGCTCAGCCCTGGCCGAAGCGACAAGCAGCCTCGGCGCGCGGTTCCCAGCGTCCTCCGGGGCAGCCAGCCCGCCTGTGGGCGCCTCAGGGGATGCTCTCCGGGATGCGCCCCGGGATGCGGTTACATCACTCTGCTTTGCCTGCAAACTGGGGCTAGAACCCAGCGTAAGGCAAGCCCGCTCCTGCGGAAGGAGACGGAGCCTGTCTTCTCGCCCGCCCGAAGACTGCTGAATAGAACCAGCTCTCCTCTGCCAGGTATAGACTTGTGAATGTTTCCGCGGGGAGATTTGAAACCCTTGACAAAGGAAAACATCGATATCTCTTTTTTGTAGAAACAGCATTGGTATAAAATGATCCATACCACTTTCGTTTAATATGTACATAGAAAAGACTGAAAGTGGAATGGAATCCAGTGTTTCATTAAAAGAGTCAGACATGACTTAGTGGCTGAACAACAACGATTAGGTAGTTTTTTGTTCTAGTATTCAAGAAGTCCTTAGGTTAATTGCTTTCCTTATATTTCTGAAATACCACAAAATATGAAATAATTATTACCTATAATTTCAACGAGTAACCATTGCTAACTTTTGGTGCACACACTCACCTACACACACACATACCCACACCATTTTTTTCATATCTTTTATGTATTTTCTGCATAAATGACTATACTCTAATGCCATTATATCTTCTACAGCGATAGCTTACAAAAGCAACAATTTAGAAAACAGAATAAAGCAATGTCATTGCTAGCTGTTATGAACTGAATGTCTGTCTCCCCAACTAGCCCCACAAATTCATATGTTGAAACTCTAACCCCCAGAGTAGCTATATTTGGAATAAGAAAGTACAGACCCTCCTCAGCTTATGATGGGGTTGCATCTGGATAAACCCATAGTACTTTGAAAATACTGTAAGTCAAAAATGCATTTAATACATCTCACCTAGCTTAGCTTAACCTACCTTAAATGTGCTTAAAACACTTACATTAGCCTAGAGTTGGCCAAAATCATCTAGCACAGAGCCTATTTTGTAATAAAGTATTGAATATTTCATGCAATTTACTGAATACTGTACTGAAAGTGAAAAACAGAATGGTTGTGGGTACAGAATGGTTGTAAGTGTATTGGTTGTTTATCCTTGTGACTGTCACTGTATGGGAGCTGAGGCTTACTGCCATTGCCCAGCATCATGAGAGAGTATTATACCGATTATTGCTAGCTCAAGAAAAAAGTAAAAATTCAAATTATAGTTTCTACTGAATGCATATCACTTTCACACCACTGTGAAATTGAAAACTCATAAGTCAGGGACTCTCTATAATTAAGATGAAATAAGATCATAAGGGTGGGACCCTGATCCCATAGGATGAGTGTCCTTTTAAGAAGAGACAGCAGAGGGCTTAATCTCTCTCTGAAGTCAGGCACTGAGGAAAGTTAATATGAGGATTTAGCAAGAAGTCACTAGAAGAGACAGCCAGGAAGAGAGCCCTCACCAGAAACTGATCCTGCCAAACCTTGATCTGGAACTTCTAGCTTTCAGAATTATGAATAAATAAATTTCCATTGTTTAAGCCACCCAGTTTATGATATTTTGTTATATAACAGCCCAAGCAACCTAACATACTATCATGTAGTATTTACAGAGTATGAAGCTTTGTTCCAAGTGCATTATATATGTTAACCAATGTGGTCCTCATAACAACGTCTTGAGGTAAATGCTATTATTATTCCCAATTTGCAGATAAGAAAACAGGTTTGGAGAAGTTAAGTAGCTTGTCCTGCATCATACAGCTTGCAAGTGATGAATCCAAGCAGTCTGCTCTTCTACCTGCTACTCAACAAAACCATGGCATAAAATATAATAAAACGCTAATGGTAAAGTCTAGGTAGTGGTACATGGATGCTCATTGTAAAAGTCTTTCAACTTTCCTGTATGTTTGAATGTTTTCATAATAAAATATTGATAAGAATAAATAAGAATTATGCAGGACCTTATCAATAAAGTCACAAAAATTACTGATTTAAATGGAAAGAATAGTGATGTACATCATGTTCATGGATTAGAATAGAACTTTCTAAATATGTCAGCTTCCTCCACTTTAATGCTCCCCAATAAAAATCTCAACTTTTCCTTTTAATAAGTTAAATGATTCTAAAGTTTACCAGGAATGGTAAGTATTCCAGAATGGCCAATAAAATTTTGCAACAATAATGATGTCAGACTTGACCTACCAATATAACTTGTATAAATTGTTTTACCAATATAATACAAGGCTTGATAATCAAGATAAAACCAGCACCAATATATACTCTGAAACTAATAAAATTAAATTGAAACCCTCCAAACAGACTTGTTAGTTTACTTAAAGTGATGATGATTATTCATTAAGTGTCGTGAAGACAGCTAGTTAGCCATTTAGATGAAAGTGAAAGAGGAGAGTGAAAAAGTTGACTTAAAGCTCAACATTCAGAAAACTAAGATCATGGCATCTGGCCCCATCACTTCATGGCAAATAGATGGGGAAACAGTGTCAGACTTTATTTTGGGGGGCTCCAAAATCACTGCAGATGGTGACTGCAGCCATGAAATTAAAAGACGCTTACTCCTTGGAAGGAAAGTTATGACCAACCTAGACAGCATATTAAAAAGCAGAGACATTACTTTGCCAACAAAGATCCATCTAGTCAAGGCTATGGGTTTTCCAGTGGTCATGTATGGATGTGAGAGTTGGACTGTGAAGAAAGCTGAGCGCCGAAGAATGATGCTTTTGAATTGTGGTGTTGGAGAAGACTCTTGAGAGTCCCTTGGACTGCAAGGAGATCCAACAAGTCCATCCTAAAGGAGATCAGTCCTGGGTGTTCATTGAAGGACTGATGCTGAAGCTGAAACTCCAATACTTTGGTCACCTCATGCTAAGAGTTGACTCATTGGAAAAGACCCTGATGCTGGGAGGGATTGGGGGCAGGAGGAGAAGGGGACGACAAAGGATGAGATGGCTGGATGGCATCACCGACTTGATGGACATGAGTTTGAGTAAACTCCGGGAGTTTGTGTAAACTCCAGGAGTTTGTGATGGACAGGGAGGCCTGGCGTGCTGCAATTCAAGGGGCCGCAAAGAGTCGGACATGACTGAGCGACTGAGCTGAACTGAGTAGTCTGCTTGGGCTGCTACAACTAAATACCACAGATTGGATGGCTTGTTGTTCAGTCGCTCAGTTGTATCCGACTCTTTGCAACCCCATGGACAGCAGCAGTCCAGGCTTCCCTGTCCTTCACTGTGTCCCGGAGTTTGCTCAAACTCATGTCCGTAGAGTTAGTGATGCCATCCAACCACCTCATCCTCTGTCACCCCCTTCTCCTCGTGTCTTCTATCTTTTCCAGCATCAGGGTCTTTTCCAATGAGTTGGCTGTTCACATCAGGTGGCCAAAGTATTGGAGCTTCAGCTTCAGCAAAAGTCCTTCCAATAAATATTCAGGGTTGACTGCCTTTAGGATTCACTAGTTTGATCTTCTTGTAGTCCAAGGGACTCTCAAGACTCTTCTCCAGCACCACAGTTCAAAAGCATCAATTCTTCAGTGCTCAGCCTTCTTCATGGTCCAACTCACATCCCTACATGAAAGCGAAAGTGAAAGATGCTCAGTCATGTCAGACTCTTTGCAACCCCATGGACTAGTCCATGGAATTCTCCAGGCTGGAATACTGGAGTGGATGGTAGCTTTTGCCTTCTCCAGGTGATCTTCCCAACCCAGGAATCAAACCCAGATCTCCCGCATCTTTACCAGCTGAGCCACAGGGAAACCCAAGAATACTGGAGTGAGTAGCCTATCCCTTCTCCAGGAGATCTTCCCGACCCAGAAATTGAACTGGGGTCTCCTACATTGCAGGCGGATTCTTTACCAACCGAGCTATTGGGGAAGCCCATCTGTACATGACTACTGGAAGAACCATAGCTTTGACTATGTGGATCTTTGTCAGCTAAGTGATGTCTCTGCTTTTTAATACACTGTCTAGGTTTGTCATAGCTATTCTTCCAAGGAGGAAGCATCTTTTAATTTTGTAGCTGCAGTCACCATCTGCATTGATTTTGGTGGTATCATTTGCATATCTGAGGTTATTGATATTTCTCCCAGCAATCTTGATTCCAGCTTGTGATTCATCTAGTCTGGCATTTTGCATGATGTACTCTGCATATAAGTCAAATAAGCAGGGTGACAATACACGGCCTTGACGTACTCCTTTCGCAATTTTGAGCTAGTTCATTGTTCCATATCCGGTTCTAGCTGTTGCTTCTTGACCTGCATACAGATTTCTCAGGAGGCAAGTAAGGTGGTCTGGTATTCCCATCTCTTTCAGAATTTTCCACAGTTTGTTGTGATCCACACAGGCAAAGGCTTTAGCATAGTCAGTGAAGCAGAAGTAGGTGTTTTTCTGGAATTCCTTTGCTTTTTCTGTGATCCAAGGAATGTTGGCAATTTGATCTCTGGTTCCTCAGACTTTCTATACCCAACTTGTATATCTGGAAGTCCTTGGTTCATGTACCACTGAAGCCTAGCTTGAAGGACTTTGAGCATAACCTTACTAGCATGTGAAATGAGTACAATTGTATGATAGTTCTAACATTCTTTGGTATTGCCCTTCTTTAGGATTAGAATGAAAACTAATCTTTTCCATCTGTAAATTTTATTCAAATCACAATTGCTATTCACATTTCTGTTACAATGTTCAGCCTTATTCTTTAGAATTACCATTTTCACCACTGATTTCTGATAGGGTCAAATAGAAATTAACATTATGACTAACTACAGAGTGAGGCCCAATTTCAATTTATAATTATTTTCCATCACAAATAATTGTCAACTTCCAGCAGAAGAATGATGTAAAGAGTGCAGGAGGAATCTATGCTAGCACTCTATTGCTTCCAAGCACTTACAATGGTAAGTTTAGTTGCAGAAGCTGATGCTGTTTGTGTCGTATGCATACCTTTTAGACTTTCCAGTGTGCTTCAGCGATGCCAGCTGCCTGTATTTGCATCTCTGCAGCTGGGCAGGGAATTAACACTGATTACCCTCCCACTACCCCCACCACCAGGCTTCCCAGGTGGCTCAGTGTGTAAAGAATCTGCCCGCAATGCAGGAGACACAGGAGATGTGGATTCAGTCTCCGGGTTGGTAAGATCCCCTGGAGGAGGGTACAGCAACCCACTTCTTGCCTGGAGAATCCCCATGGA